GTGTTGAGCATGATCGTATCCCTGATACACATCAGTCCAGATTGCAGAAACTCACCTAAGTTGGGGTTGCTTTTCAGAAAAGCTCCAATAGTCTGTTTTTCTCATTTTCCTCCAGCTTTTCACTGCTCTGGCTGTCTTTTGAGGTGATGGGTTAGGAGTGCCATACCAGTGCTTTTGTCCCCAGGCCAGACCCTGCTGCAGAAGAGCTGTTGCCCATGGATGAGTGGTGCCTGCCACCTTCTGGTCGATTTTCCAGCACCACCCACAGCCTGGGCAGCAGTGCAGGGGCAAAATGCTGGGGGTACAATGCCTGGTGTGCCATGAACACTGTCCTCCTTACTCCAGTCTGCTGGAAGGGAGGAGAGGTGGCTCCTCCTGATCCTGGAGATCAGGGAGGGGGCCATGGAGAGGATCTTGATCCCTCAAGTGGCTTTGTTCCTTGTGGGATTTCTGCTTTTGGATGCTTGGTGATGGAGCTGCTGTCCCACTTCACAGTGGCCTATTCTGGCTCTGCTCCGAGACCCCACTTTTCCCCTTCCCTGACATCAGGGCTGGAGATGCTGAGAACTTCACTGTGCTGAGCACTTCAGTTTGTGCTGAGCACTTTACTGTGCTGAGCATTTCACTGCCCTGAGCATCCTTGCAGCTCCATGGCGTACTGTGGACCTGAGGTTCCCCCCACTTTATGAAGGAGGGCTGAAGCTCAGCTCTGTCCCATCTGAAGTGTGTGGGTTAGAAATCTCATGGTTTGGGGACTTGGTTTTCCTGTGTGACCAAGAGAAGAGATGGGCATCTTCTGGTGATGGCCTAGACCGATAGCTGTGGTCCAGCTCTGAGCCCTGCTCTGCACATGCCCTGTTTTTGGCCACCATTATCCCCCTTGGTGCAGAAGGGCTGGGTTCTGTTAGAGGCTCATTTGCTGCAGGAGTTCAGAGCCGTGGCTCTGGGCAGTCTCAATGCAGCTACACTCAAATACCATCTCTATGGTGATGACTCAGAGGCATGCATCCTTACGCCGGGCTCTCCTCTCCCTGTCCAAATTCATATCTCAGAGGAGCTCTGACATCTCATGAATGTCTCACCACCAGCTCCAGCACAACACAGAAGCAGAACTTTTAACCTCTCAGTCTCAGCTCGGTGCTGAGCTCAGCAACACCAAGGACACTGCTCCTTTGCCAGCATTTGAGTGCTGTCTTCATCTCCTGCCACCTCCTGTGTCTTCATGTCCTGGCCACCTAACAGCTTGCCTAACCCCACAAAGGCACAGCTTTTCCTGAAGTTAGAACTCCCATTTGCTCTTTCATCACATCCTCCTCCTCTTGAAGCAATATCCTTTTCTTGGCCTCACCAAATTTGCTGTTGGCCAGCTTGTATCCACCCAGATGCTGCCTTAGGAGCTGCTTTCCCATATCTATTGCTTCTCCTGTCTGACTCCCTGTATCCCCCTGCCCACAGCCACTTCTGCCTTCTGCATCCCATGAGTGCCTTTGATTCTTCAGGGCTACAGCCCTGTTCAGCCAAACGGCTTCTGTCCTGCCCAAATGCTTCTTGCTCCTTTTATCTCATAATTGTACACTTTTGGGGTTGGAGGAAGCTTTCCTTGTCTTGACAGCCCTAGAAGAAAAGAATCTCCTTGGAGATGTTCAAAGTGATGGATATGGACCTGGGCAGCCTGCTCTGGGTGGCCCTGCTGGAGCAGTGGTGGGACCAGATGCACTCATCAGAGATGCCTCCATGCCCTGTCATCCTGGGATTCTGGGATTCGAGAGTTCTATGAGCAGGCTGCTGACATTAGAGCCAAGGTCCTAGGAATGTGCATAAATGGGAAAGCATCTTGCTTGGAAGCAGGGAGGAGGCTGGTGTCTTCAGGCTTGTCCAGGGCTTGGCTCCAAGGCTGCCCAATGGCACCTGGCACAGGCAGGGGATGCAGAGCTGTCATGGATCACTGGCTGCATCCGCATCACTTGAGGCAAGTGAGCAAATGGTTTGGATTTCAAGTGCAAATAAGCAGTCCTGGCCCCAGATGCAGGGAACATGGCTTTTTCTCACTGTTGTGAAAGGGCAGCCACTCCAGAAGGCTAAATAGGCTGCAGAATGGGGGCTGGCAGTGGGAAACTTCTTCTGCAAAGCAAGCAGGGGGTAAAGTTGTGAGCTGGATGAGGCTGGGAAAGTGGCTCCTGCCCTGAGGTCTGTGCTGTCAGCACGGGAAGGCTTTGCCTTGCTGCACTGCTGGGCACTAATAAAGAGCTGGAGGGCCAGAACTGGCTGCAGTCATGGGTCTGGTGCTGAGGAGAGTGTTTTCAGCAGGGTGATGTGTGTTGTGTAGCAGGATGGCTCGGGGCTGAGGCTGCAAATGAAACAGAACCAGGGCAGATCTGTTGGGGTGTCCCAGAAAGGTGTTGGCAGAGCCCGTCTCTGCTGTGGTCCCGGTGGCTGAGTGCATTCATTTAGGCAACAGTAGAGAGCTGTGATGGGCTTGCTGAGATCTGCGGTGTCTCTGTTCAAAAGCAAAGGCAGCTCTCTTCCTGTTCTGTTATTGATCCAAGGCTGTAGCCTTAACTCTGCTCACACAGAAGGATGAAAGCTGCTCCTTTTTCTCCCCTAGGAGCAAGGCAGGTGTGTGTCAGTGATGTTATGTAGAGATGTGCAGAGCTTCTTGCCAGATCAGCTCCTGCTGCTGCCCTGTGCCAGGGCTGCTGAGCATCCCCATGTGCCAGCATTAAGGGATTTCTCCACAGTTGCTCTGCCCTGGGTGGGTTTCAGCTCTGGCACATCAAAAGCAATCCTATGTGTTTGTCTTTCCTGGGAATTTGTTGGATGGATGTAGTCTGCCCTGGGTTAAATATAGCCGCTGGGCCCCAGGCAGCTCACTGTGCCACACATAGCACTGTTCAGTTGCTGGGAGACACAAATCAGTGATGCAATCTCAGTTTTGGAGAACTGTGGGCCACGTGATGCCCCTCCAGATGTCAGTAAAAGAATTGGATTGGAAATCCTCGAATGGTCCCTTCTGGGCTCAGTGCTGCTGATGCTCCTGGGGCTGCCCGTGCCCGAGGTGAACACCAGGCACTGCAATCAAATCCAGCACATGAAATGATTGTGTCTTGGCACATTTTCCTCTTCTCCAAAGAGCCCCTAGCCACCCTTAGGTAAAGCAGAAATGTGCTAATGGGCTCTCCTTTCTCTCCCAGTCTGTCAGAGTTCTTCCCTCACCTGTGAAAATAGCAGGGAAGTTTCTGCTAATGTCCTCTGACTTCTAATGCACAAATTGCTGCAGGATTTTACTTAGCATTAGCACCTCATCCGCAGATGTGAGCGCTTAGTAGGGAATATTCATCAGTCACAAGAGCGAGTTCTGATGCTTGGGGCATTGGAGTGAGTCAAAGATGACCCAGCTCTTCAAACACATAGCAAATTTAATATTAATAAAAAAGCAAAGTTCCTTGTTAAGCATGACATTATCTTCTGGGAAAGGGCACTGTGATCTGCAGACTGGTGCTGTCTTGTGCTGAATGCAAAGGCAAAGCAACAGGACGGCTGGGAACATCATGCTTCTGCTGGTCCACTTGCTCTGTCCATTGTCAGGTGATGCCCAGAGCCAGGGCTGGATATGGAGAGCATCTCCTTGGCCATGATATTATTGGGCAAACAAACAGGGAAGTTTTTTCCAAGTCAGGAACCACACCAGGTATGGAGGAGGGCTGGGATGCAGCTTGGGTTTTGGGAAGGATGGGAGATGCTGCCTGGCAATGGGGGGTTGAGCAGAATCCATCCATCCCATCTGTGCAGCACTGGGGATGGTGCAGACTCACGCTGCGTGGGGGAGACCCCAGACCTGAGTGAGGCTCACAGAGGTCAGAAGATGCCTGTGGGGAGGCCAGGCCTGTGGATGCAGGGTATGGGGACCACAGCTCTGCTGTGCCAGGGGTCTGAGGCTCAGCCCTTCTGAGCTCACCCTGCTGAAAAATGAAGGTCTTGCTGTTTCCACTGAAATTAATCCTTATGGGAATCTGCTTTCTGATGCAATGCTCTGCAGGAGATTTCTTTTTTATCCTCATCCCTCTGCTTATTTAGACTTGAAAAATAAACAGGAGCGAAAAAGCAAGAGGTGGTAAAAATCCTGAGGAGCTGCAGGAAGAGCGAAGAGCTCATATCTGCTTGCAGGGACCGCAGCACAATGGGTGTGCAGAGTGCTGACTCAGCTGCTGTGCCTCCGTGGTGAGAGTGCAGGGCAAGGCTGAACAGGGCTGCTCATAGCTTGGCTTGGAATGACACTCGCAATAACAAACATCTGAGCTTGAATTCTCAGCTGATGATATCTCTAAATGGAAGGGAATGCATGGGATGGGAAATGATGGCAAATGGCCAAAAGGAGCAGGGAGTTACCACTGCTCTGCTGGGGCTGTCAGACAGGATGGGACCAGGACAAGGCCAGGAGTGTGCTGAGGTGATAGCATTGGTGCCACTGCAGTGCCAGTGGGCATTGCAGGGTGATGCTGGACCCTGCTTTGCTCTCCAGCCTCTTGTGCTGGAAGACATCATGATGGCAACATCAGAGGGCCGCTGCCCCAGGACGTGGGACATCTTTGTAAAGCTGTGACAGTCTTTATGCTCCAGGGATGGCCTTGGGCTGCTTTGATTTGCTGCTGCTTTTCTTGCTACTGCACCTTTGACATTGGGTTCATCTCTCCCCAGTGCAGCTTCACCCCTGCGTGGTGAAGTTGGTGTTTGAGAGAGGCTTTTTGTGCTCATCATCTTGGGAATAGAGCAAAGAGCAAAGAGCTGGTTTCCTTGTTCAGAGGTTGGGCTAAAAATATTCAGGGAAAAATTCATTTGGGATTGAGCTGAGATCTGAAATATTTGCTGTGTTCTGAGCTTTTCAGACCACTGAATGGAGAAGAAATGTTCTTAATTCACAGCAGCTCCCAGCTCTCCTAAAGATGTGTCTTGTTGCACTCAAAGGGTGACACTGTCTCTTATTCTCCCTGTTTCTGTTAAATGAATTATTATTATTATTATTTTTAACGAGAAGGAACACTTCAGAACAAATGTGCTTCAATGCCATGTTTGGCTGTGTCCACACAGGAGGTTTATTTTAGCACTCTGGGGCCCAAGTTGTGCTGGCTGGCACAGGGTCACCCCTGAATGATGCAAGACACAGGGGTTCCCTCATCCCCACCCAGTGCAAAGGAAGAGTTGCTAACAACGTCACTTTTATTGTCACTGTTGCTTCAGCAGCCCGTTGTGTGCTTTTTGGGATGCTGGGCTGGGTGATGCTGAGATGGCTGGTGCCAAGCCAGTGTCTCAGTGCCTCTTTGGCTGGTGTGTGGCCTCTGGTGTGACGAGTGGGTTTTCCCATTTCTGAAGGGAAACTGGGAGCACTGGGACTGTCTGTGCTATCTGGGAACATCAGCCCAGCTCCTCTGCAGTGCTGCTGGGAATCCACAGGAGGCACCGTGCTCCTATTGCAGAAATCTACAGATAACTGCAGGGCTTTGTCTCTTTGGAAAGATGGAGATGTGCTGAGCATGGCATGGGAAAAGGAGCTGGTGACTGCAGGGCAGGGCAGCCTCATCCCCATCACCAATCCCTGCTTTCCACGGCCTCTGCAGAGCTCCCTTGATCCAGATCAGAGGCACCATGGGGAAGCATCAGATGTAATCTCCACATGAGCAAGGAATAATGCAGGGTGGGTGCATGCCCTCAGCATGCTCCGGTTGGGTACCTGCAGCCCCCAGAGCAGTAAGTGCAATGACAGGGAAGGGCCACCTCCATCTCCTTGCTCCAGTCTGAAATTTCCTGCAGCAAAGTAAACCGTGGCTTCAGTGGAGATGCTTGCACAGCAGGCATTCCTCTAATTGAAATCCAGTTATTCCTGGGAAGCACTGCGAGTTGCCTTTGGGATGTCAGCCTTGGCGTGGGGTGCATGAATGGAGCCATTTAGACACAAACACAGGCCTCCTAAATACAGCTCCATCCACCAAGATTCCTGATGAAATGAGCTCAACAAAGCAGCAGAGCACACAGGAGATCATGGAATGACTGCAAAAAAACTGGCCATGTATTGGAATTCTAATTCAACTTGACAAAGCCAAAAGGCTTTGTCAATTTGGACAAGGAGGTGTCAAGGAGGAAAAGGGGAGAGGCTGAGGCTGGCTGGTGTGGGGATGCTGGGGCTGGTGGGTGCTGTTGACCTGCTGCTGGAGCTCATCCTGCACTTTGCACAAACTCATTGCACCTTACATTCGACCTTCCAACACCAAAAGCTGTCTGCCATCTCCACACCAGAGCTCCCAAAGCATGCTAACGTGGTGAGCTGGGATGGGGCTCCCAGGGCATTCGGCACAGCGCTAACTTCCCGTGGGGCTGTCATTACAAACCGATGAGATATCAGTGTTATGTTTTTGTTTAGCTAAAAAAGCCTTCAGAGAGATGCTGAATAAGTATTAAAAGAGCTTTTTTTCTTTTTCTTTCTTTCTTTTTTTTTTTTTTTTTCCCTTTTACTAACACAGAGAAAATTGAAACCAGCTGGCAGGGCTGGTCGTTCCAGCCAACTGCAGCAGCCCTGGGGATTCCCCTCATGAGCTGGTGCTGCAGGGAGGGGAAACTGGGGTAAGCCAGGTGACTGGGGCTGCATCCTGCCTGCTGGGGGGAAGAGGTTTTGCTTCCTTCTGCCCTCCCATTAAGCCATGCATCACCTACATAAAGCAGCATGTGAGGTGATATGCCTGCCTGGGGATGAGTCTCTGCCCAAATGGGAAAGCTGGAGGAACTGGACCAAGGAAAGGAGGAGAGATGCTGGACAGATGCATTTTGATGTGTGGATACTGCTTGCCTTATGCTGACACTGTGAGTTGTCCTGAAATATGTTTGTTTCCTAAGCACAAGCTCGATCCGGAGTGATTGCTTCTTGGCTGTAGCTATTGTGTTGCACAAAATAATAAATCTCCATTAATTAGGTACAAAATGAGAGCAGCAGAGGCAATACCCAGATAAGAAGCCACGTTTCACTGCTGCTAGCACTGCCCATGTGCAGTTTCAGCGTTCTGCACACAAGTCTTGGGCTTTTCTCGCCACCCTGCAGCTCAGAGCATTGGAAACAATTGCACCCAAACTTTTGGAGCAAGCCTTTTGCTTTCCCCTTGCTGCCATCTCAGCCCATAGTGGCTTTGGCTGTCACCGCAGCACCCCTGCCTGCTCCACCAGGCACCGCTTGGTTTGAATTAAATCTGCCAGCAATGCTCTGTCCTGTTTTCTTCTGGCTCCAGCATCCTCGGGGCTGCTCAGTGCTTGTGTGGCCATTCCCCCTCCGTGCCTTTGGGACAGATGGAATGAAGATTGGTCTAGGGCAAAGTTGGCAGCCTGGGAGATTGATTTTGGAGCCGAGAGGGATGGGCATCCCTTGTGAAGCTCTGCAAGGCCACAGCTTCTCATTGCTGGAAACCGTGAGTGTGGGCTGGAAGATGTGCCAAGGAGCCCCAGGCACATGTGGAGACCAGGGGGAAGCATCCAGAGCAGGCTGTGAGCAGTTTCAGCAGTTATCTAGCATATTCTGCCAGGACTCAGGGCATAGTGTGGGGATGGGAATACAGTACACCTCCATAGGGATTTTAGGAAGTTCCTGAGGTGCATTGATGAGTGGATGCCACACGGGCTGCTTTCCGGTCCTGCAGAGCACTGTGCCCAGTACCCATCCCTGCATCCACGCAGCCCCAAAGACAGCAGGCCCGGAAGATGTATTGCAGTCCTTTGGCTGGAGAACCAGCAGCAGTCCTTCATGTGGGGCTGCCGGGCCCCTGGAGAAGCCACATCAGGAGCATCCCTGCCTTTGTGCTGCTGTGGATGCAAGTGGACTGGGATTATCTTTCAGATCACTTTACTCACACTGTGAAATCAATGCTCCTGAAAACAAAGGCTAGAGGAGAGCTGGGTCTCTGCCTGGGCTTGAGAGAATTTCCTTCTAAGACGTTGTCACAGGTTGCAGGGGAAAGCAATCTGGGCTGAGGCACTGGTGTATTTCTAGATTTCTCCTGGGTTTAGGCAGCTCATAGATACTGGCTGTCATGCAACAGAGTGGGTGCATCATAGCTCTGCTCTGCAGGGAGTAGAGCATAGAGATCCGTGCTGAGGATTAACGGTGTCTGCTCTCTGGGGTGGCTCCAGAGGGTGAGAAATGCACAGCCAGGCACAGCACAAAGCCCAGAGGAACAGAGTGATCTCATGCATTTCCATCTTCTTTTCATCAGCAATCAGTGCTGGGAGCACTGTGATGAACTTTCCGGTATCAATCTGAAACGCTTCAGGAGCAATGATTTCAGGATGATTTTCTCCCTCCTCACCCCCCCCCCCCCCCCCCCCCCCCCCCCCCCCCAAAAAAAAAAACCCACAAAAAAAAACCAAGAACAAAACAACCCAAAAGCTTTGCTTTGAATGTGCTGAGTCAGCACTTGGGCTGCTGCTGGTTTTGTTTTTTTTTTTTTCACTTTGTGCTTTTCCCCTCATTAAATCCTGCCCTCTGTGGCAGTGTGTGAGCTCAGGCACTTTGACACAGTCAGTCCCTGCCAGCTTCTGCCACTGAGCCCTGCTATGATTGATTGCTGTGTGAAAGGGACTGCAGATGCTGTGGTTATGCAGAACAAGGGGCTGCTTGCTGCTGCCCGGGAAGATGCTATCTGCCTGGGATTCGCCTTGGATAAAGCCCCAGAAAGCCTTCTCTTCAAGTTGCACAACTAGTTGAGGCCACCCTGGAATTGGCCATTCCTTGGCAGAAGCACTAAATGGAAGCAAACATTTTAACAAGCCCCTTCTGAGGGGCAGTTTGGGCAGCAAAGTCCTGGGGATGCAGAATGTGTGGGGGCTGCCCTAATGCAGGGAGGGGAACTTGGGTTAGGGTTGGGGTTGGGGTTTGGGTCTGGGGTGGCCAGATTTCTCCTGGCCAAATCGATGGAACCATGGAAAACCCTGAGATGCAGAGATGCTCTGTGGGGCTGCATCTATCATTATTCACCTTCTCTGTTTTCAGCTGCTTTTTTTTGTATCTTTTTGTGGGAAGTGACTGAGGTACAGATTTCCAGTCTGAAGCCTCTTATCTACATGCAGATGGTTTGGGTAAGGAGCTCCCCAGAAGGACAGGAGCCCATCTGCCCCCTCCTAAACACACAAATACATGAACAAAGCTATTGCAAAGCAGCCCTGCCCACATGTGCAGAGACAACACATCCATCGGGTTGCCCCTGCTGTATTGAGCCCCTCTCTGCTGTGAAGGGCTTTCTCTTTCAGTCTGCAGAACATGGCAGAGCCCCATGCTGGCATTTGGTGAGATGGTCCCCATCCCCATCCATCAGCCGCTGCCACCTCGCACAGAGCCGTGTCTCAGCCCAGGGAATCAATCCTGCCTAATGTATAAATATTAGATCTGGAGTCTCAGCTGCAGAGGAGAAAGTGGAGCTGTCAGATAAGCTGCAATTAGTGCATTTATCTACTTTATTTTCCTGTCTTTTCCCCAAACTCCTTTTGCCTGTCTGCTCCTAATACATTATTAAATCTGCTCTAAGTGTTGATTAAAGAAGCTGAAATCCCAGGTGTTTGTTACCCAACATTGCTGAGATGCACTTTCAAACTACCTTATGCAAATTGTAGTTTTTGGTTTATGGTTTTTGTTTTTTTTTTTTTTTTCCCACAGATTTCCCACTATTTCTACGTACATTCAAGCCAAAGAAATGTGTTTTCAGCAGAGGTTCTGTGCTGTGCTCTGCTCAGCGACGTGCCTGGCTTTCAGGTGGCACCAGGTCCCTGTGCAGGGAGCACACAGCTCTGCCAGCTCAGCCTCCTGCTGTGCATTCACCTGCATTCACCAAGGGCTCCAGCATCTCTTTAAGCAAAATGCTGCAAAAAGAGATAGATCTATTACCATTGCTCATGCAAGAGTAAACACAGCAATCAATTGCAGCTCCAGACTAACTCCTTTCCTTTGCAGTTTGGATGTTTAGAAGTAATTTCGGGAGTAATCACTGCAAATGGAAGCATGGAAGTAAATGCCTGCAATAAAACATTGCGGGGGTGACTGTTATCCTAATGATATTTCCAACAAACACTGCTGAAATATGTTTTCTTCTCTAAAATTTGCAACAGAGCTTTTACATTCTGAGTGCTAAATGGGGTAAATACCAACCAGGATGGTTCTGAGATGATTTTTCTTTGCTATAGCAAAGATGAGGCATGTTCTGTCCTTCCTCCTGTCCAGGAGCATGGCATTATTCTCTGCTTCCCAATTTGCTCACGCTTTATGTCATGCTATGGATCCCCTTTCCATTAACCCAGTACAAATAATTGCTATTTTCTTTCACAGAGCAAACACAAACTTTGCAAACTGGCAACAGCCTTACAGCAGAAAGCTGCTGGCCAGATTCCAGTGGCCTTTTCTAGTTGGTTTTTTATTTTTTTTATTCTTTTCCAGATGGGTTCATCTCTTATTCCTTGTGAATAATTTATCCGGGCACGCCTGGAAATGTTCTCTCAAGAAATTATGGCTGTCTTCAAATCTCTGTGGCAGGGAGCAATCCCTTCTGCCCCCACTGAGCTTCCCTGGGGGGTGGGTTGGGAGGTGGGGGGGAGGGTCGTGGTTAACTTCAGCCACTGCATTTCTGGAGCTGCACTGAATGCAGTGTAGGGAGCCAAGCGGATGGGCTGCCCCTGCTTTGCTTTGATGGATGGTTGCACTTTAGGTGCTGCTGTTTGCAAATGGAGCCTGCGGTGGCAAGGTCTTGCCAGCCAAGTGCTTCTCGTTATTCAGCATTTGCAAACCAAAGTGGGATGGATGGAGGAGCGGTGCCAATCGTTGCTCCCGTAATCGCGTCTCTCCATCTGCCAGAACCTGTCAGAAAGGAACAGAGGCCAGAAGGAAGAACTCGCCTCACTTGCAGTCAAAGCGCCGAAAATGCCAAGGCCTTTCAAGCTATAGGGGGAAAATCTGGGGGAGCTCAGCTGTAGGCTCACTGCTCCTGCTGGGAATGCGGCCAGGCTCTCTGCTCTGTCAGATCTCTATTGATCCTCCACTGTTTCGCAGAGCTAGAGCAGTGGGCATGGTGAGATAGGTTGATGATTGATGGGCTGATGGTTGGGCTTGATGAGCTTAGTGGTCTTTTCGAACCTTAATGATTCTACAATTCTCTGATGTTCTCTCGTTTCACAGTGCTTTTCCCTCTGTTTGGCATTGGATAGCCAATGACAGAAGTCTAAAAGCAGGCAGGTTATTCTCCAAATGCACCACAAAACAACAGCGACAACAACGAGGTATGTTTTTGTTTTTAAAGCAATTTTTACTAGGTGTTTGGTTTGCAGCCAGCAGCCTAATGCATCACTGAATTTAGCTCTGTCTGCTCTGCAGTGCAGTTGCCCAAGAAATCAATGGCCTGACATACTTTCCTTTGCTAGAAAATACACTTTTGCTTGAGTGGGTGTGAAAACCAAGAGCTCGCCAAAACCTGCTCAGTGCTGAAGAAAATTTCCCCTTCCATGTCCAGCATCAAGGCGGCCTCAGGACAAAGGCTTTGCCCTGCTACTCATGTTCTGCTTTTAGGGGTTGTGCAGCTTTCAATGCCTACTGGTGGGCAGTTTAGCAGAGGGAAATGTCTGCTATTCTCTGGCTAAAATAAAACCCTATTCTGGTGTGAATTTGCAGTCCAGGTGGATTTTCTGGCTTTCTCTGTTCATGGCAATCATTCATAAAGCATCAGAAAAGCTCTGTTGCATAGCCCAGGCTGAGCATTTGTGTCCACGCACTGGAGAATGCTGTGCTCCATTATAAACCCTTCTGGGAGAGAGATGTGCAAACCTCCCCGCTCCTCTGCTAAATCCCAGCCTCACTGGGAAAGCCGAAATTTAAATATAACTCCTGACTTCATAGCAGGATCCCTCAGTCGGCCAATTGTTTAATACTTGGAGAACAGCCACCATCAAAAATAACAGAACAAAAGTCACAAAAACAGCCTCTGGATCAGCCTCCTTCCTGCCCACGTTTTGACACTGGAGGCGATTTCCAGGAATGCCCAAGCTGGAAGCAAAGCCGCTGCCTGCAGGGATGGGGATGTGATGAGGTGAGCCAGTGACAGATGGGTGCCATCACTGTGCAGTCCTCATCCCCCTGCCACTCTGTGCTGCTGTCATTTCCCCCATAGTGTGAGGTTCTTGGGATCCCCTGTCTTGTTGGCTTATAGGATTATAGGATAGTAAAATCACAGAATTACTAAGGTTGGAAAAGATCTCTTAAGATCATAGATTTCAACCTCAGCCAATCCCCACCACTGAGCCAGCAGGGCAGAGCAGAGCCATGTGCAAAACTCCAGAAGAGAAGCACAAAACCCAGTGGCCAAACTCTTGAGCCAAACCATTTCTCCCATGCCCAAAGCCCCTGAAGCAAACCTTTAACCTCAAAAGAGAAGTGCACAGCCACTGTGGCTTTCCTGCCTGCAACCAGGGTTTTCACAGGGGTTAAGGTCTCAGCTGATGAGGAGATCAGCTCAGCAGAGTGCCAGGGGTGGGAGTGGGGACACACAAGGGAAAGTGATGCTTCAGAGCACTATGCTGGGCAGCAGCTTTCCAAGCTGAGATTTCCTATGTTGCCGAGGTTTTGGTGAATTTGTTCTCATTGTAAGGAAGGTATTGGTTCCCACAGGAATCCCGGGGGCTCAGCTGCCACCCTGCCTCCTAGCACTGGCATTTCTTCTTTCCTTTGCAAACAAGTGCCGTATCAGTCTGGCTGGTGCTGTTTATAACAACTCTTGGCTGTGCAGATGGCTGCCGAGTGCCGGCTTTGCTCAGAGCTTCCCTCTGCTCTGCCCAGGTGTCCGTGACCTGGAGAAGCCAAAAGCCTGCTCCTGTCCTCCCCTGAGGCGCGCTGGATGTGCAGCTGGGAGTTCTCTAAAGGATTTCACAGCAGCTGAGCTCATGCAAAATGGTATTTTTGCTTTGCCCTTTGCATGCCTTCCTTGTCCTTGGCCCTCCGGTTTCCCTCCCGCGCTCCAGAAGAAGAGAATGATGGCAGACATGCCAGCTTTGAAAGCACAGAGTGCTTCAGCAAAGGCAGCTCATTACAACATGTTCTCACCGATGTCTGCTGCCCCTTATCAGCCCATCAGCCCGTGCACGTTACCCTCTGGCTGCCACCAGACACCGCTCATCCCTGGCGGCCGAGCCCTGGCTGCAGCCTGACTCACTGCGTGGGAGACAGTAATTATTCTGTCCGTGGCAAATTGGACCAGTAATAACCTTTCTCTTCATAGCAGTAATGATGCTCTTTTAAAAATATATTTTAATTGATCGTGGATAATGAGTTGGACTGAGGGAGCAGGCAGCTGGGGGGGTGAGGGCAGGATGGGGGCAGATGGAGCAGGAGGAAGAGAAGGTGGTGATGTCACGCAGGGATGCTGCGATGGGATGGATCCTGCACACACAGGCAGCAGGTGAGGCTCACTGCAGTCCCATCAGGGATTTGTTCTCTCTCTTGGTGCCTAAGCAAAGGCTGCATCCCGCAGGTGAGCAGAGCATGGGTCACGCTCACGAGGTCCTGCTTCCTCCTCCTCCCTCTGCCCACGCTGTGATGCACCTCCCTTCCCATCTCCTGCCCACGCTGCGATGCTCTGCAGAGCCCTTCTGCTCTTCTCAGGGAGGAACCATTGCCCTTTCTCAAGAAGTATTTTGCTGTGAGCCCCTGATGTGTGTTGAATGAGAAGCAAGCCGGATCCCAAAGCATGGTGACCTTCTCTGTGAGGCTTTGTTAGTCCTCAGAGCTTGCAAAAGGGATGTATGGGGGTTTTAATGCGAGACTGTTATGTGCCACTGCAGCATTTCAAGTGCCACTACTCGCAGAGCGCGGAGATGCCTCTGTTCTTGTTTCTTGCTGGGAAGAAAATGCAACAATGCTCTCTAGAGGCAGAAGAAGTCAAGAAGAGGCTTGCTTTTCCCACTCCACACTTCACTGTGACCTCGCTGCTCTTTGCAGCTGTTTATTTCCCACATAAACAGCAATTTCTGAGCATTTTGGCCTCTTGTGCTGTAGCTCAGGTTGTTTGTTTCACCCCACCCCAGGGCAATCTCATGTAATTAGATGTAATTAGTGCGAGAGAGGGGTGGGAGCTATGGTCCAGGTCAGGATGCGGCTCTGGGACTGGAAGGCCATGCAGGGCAATGGGAATGCGGAAGAATGCAGGAAGAGATGTGCTCCAGTGTGGTCCAGCATCACTGTGGGACAGGGAAACCTGGGAGCTTGCGGTGGGATGCCTGTAGGGGAATGTCCATAAGGACTGATTCACCCCAGGGGAAGTGCAGCTGTAGTGAAACAGGAGCTGCAGGAGCTCAGTCAGGCAGCAACTGCCCCTTTATAAAGCCAGAGGGGGGCAGAGGAGCTGGTCTGGGGGGACTGTGGGTCTCTTGTTCTGGCTATTGCTTTGACTCTTGTATATCTTTATTTATTTATTTTGTAGGGAAGATGTTGGAGCTCTGATCCTGAAAGATCTTTCTGAGGTGCTGAGTCCTGCCCATGGAGATGCTACAGGAGCTCCTGGGCTGCATTAGCCAAGGCTGAAGGTCAGCTCAGGAGGAGCTGGGCCAGGTGCAGCTCCTGCAGATGGGGGCTTGCACATGCTAGAGCTGTGCAAGTGAACTACAGGGTTTAGGAGTCTGCAAAAGAACTGCAGACAGGGAGATGCACCCTGACTCAGCAGCTGCGGTCCTGCTCTTCTAGAAACCACAGGTGAGGTCTGCACCCAGCTGTACTGGTTGCTATATATACAAACGTTTGGGTCCTTGGAAAGAGCGTGTCGATTCTCACCCCATGTATGCCAAGGCATGGATCTGGTGCATTGGTCCAATGGGTTTGCTGCTTCTCTCAGCTGGTACACAGAGCTAGGCAGCAATATGAAGCCTGGACCACTTCTGGCCATTTGGATAAAAGAAATCCAAACAAACGAATTCATTTTACTGTCCTGGCTGGTTTCCAGCTCACTTAATTACTTTCTGTCAATCCACGCTGCAATCCCGTATGTTGTTGTTTATACATTTTAGTAGCTCATATTGCACATCTTTCAGCAACAACGGCCCAATGGATAGCCCAGTTTGCTGAATTAATTGTGTTGGTGAAAGGCTCAGGTTAATGTATAAAATGTACTTGGATCCCTGAAGAAAGGAAACAAAGCAAATTATATGATTGGGCTGAACTGGGTGAATCCAGTATCCCCAAGTGACCGAGATGTGATGAATTTGGGAGCTGCTTCAAAGTAGAATGCTTTGGCTGGGTTCAGACCCAACTCACCACCGTGGGCTGGCTGAGAAGAGGAAGATCTCCTGGCTGAGCCTTACATCCTTCCCAGTTTTCCCAATGTGTGGGTGATGATAACACATCCTGGGCATCTTTGTATGTGTCTGCATGGCACTGCAGCCTGCATGCAGGTGGGTCTCACAATGGAGGTAATTTAATACCAATAACTACATTGGCAGTGAACAGCTACTCTTGGTAGGCTGAAAGCTGGAAAAAGCTGATGAGAGTTTGAGGAACTTGTATTTTCATGCTATTTTACTCAATCTGTTTAATGCCCATGTTAATGCAGCCAGCTGGGTTGTGAGGGATTGGTGGGCTGGGTATGCACAGCTGTAGTGCATCTTCTCGTTGATTTGAGCTCATGGGATTAACAACATGTAGCACCTCTAGATAACAGGTGATATATTGGTTTAAGTTCCTGCTATTCCTGTAAATCAGGAGCTCTGGTACAGTTGCTGCAGGAGTGATGCTGAGCTGTGCCATCCCACAGAGGCCTGAACCCAGTCTGAAACAGGAACGGGGTAGGACTAAAGGGTGATTTGGGGTTGGATAGCATGTCAGGGTTTCTTTTGGGTGATGAGGAGCTGAAACTTACTTAGATTTTGCCTTCAAGCTCAGATCTAGCTGATGATAATTCTAAATGGTGCTGGGCTGGAGCTCTGTCAGCAAAACCCGTGTGTGCTGTCACCATGGGCACCTGGACTGCTGCTTGTCTTGTGCTTCTGTTATTCCTGCTAACTTTTCTATTGCAAAGCAAGTGCCATATTTTGTGCCTGCTGTTATTCAGAGACATGATGCACCTGGGCACGTCTCCCTGCACAGCAAGGGAGGGTGTGTGGGGCTTTGTGCCAGCGTGTGTTGATTTGCACAGAAGGGCAGTGTGTGTTAAGTTGTGCCAGATGAAAGCATTTCTATTTGGAAAACCTTGAGCTGGTTTAATTTCACGGGGTTCTGTGCTCTGCTGAACTCAGTTGATGTGACACGAGCATGGAACTGAGTGGCTTAATGAATCCAGCTTCCACGAGTCATCACCCTGAGCCTGTGTTTCTGGTTGAGCTCTTGCATATGTTGCATCTTGATTTCAAGGCTGAGCGATGCGTGATAGATAGTAAACACCCTGAATGTCCTTGTCAGGTTGGGAAATTACCCTTGCATTTAGAACCTGTGCCTTATTTCTAGTTCTGGCTTGTCTCTGCTTCTGATCCCAGCTCTGTAAGCTTATCATGGCTTTTGCTGCTGTATTAAGTACTGTATTATGTGTTGTCAGGAGAGCACCAGGTGAGAGCATCCCAGGGACCCCCAGGGTTGGGGAGAGTCTCTAGGATGGGGATGCTGTGCTCACTGACGTGTGCATCACTGGTTGTGCTGTGGAGAGGACCCTGGTGTTTGTTTAGCAAGGAAATGCTGCATCCAGAAGGATGTGGTGCTTGTGTTGAGGTTTCCCATTAGGAGTGCAGTTCTCCTCTCTGCTGTCTCTAGCCTGCTTTGATGCACGGTGCTGCCAGCTAATGAAATCTGATTAGCACAAGTGCTTTTTCCTCTCTTCAGCGATTTGCAGTGTTCTTAATGTGATGCCTGCTAATGACAGGGGAAGAAGCTAAACCAAGTTATTTTCCCATTGACTAAATGGCAGCTCACGTTGCCCCTAAAGGCAGTGAGCAGGGAGGACACCTTTCAGGCTGCTGGATTGGGCCCATTCGTTCTGACTGCTCAGACCAGGAGGAATGGGGGAGATGATCTGATATCTGGTCTTGGCTTCGGGTCCTGGAGCCTGGGATGCTGGAGATTCTTGTTAGCACTCTCTACTTTTGCAGTGCAACTTGCAAGAGATCTCAGGGTCATGTCTGTGCAATCCCCAGCCCGAGTTGCAGAGCTGGTGCATTCCCCCAGCTGTGTCCCTGTGGTGCTCAGGACCTCTCGCTGCCTTTCTTTGCCTGCATGCTTGCTGAGGTTCCTAGAGTGGTTGAAGTGATTGCAGAACGTGTCTATGCAGCAAAAAGTGTAACAAGCCCCAAGCCTCCTCCTGGGCTCGCAGAGTGCGTCATCAGTTATGTCTGCAAAATGCCTGCAAACGGGGCTGGGAAATGCAAGTCAGATCTCCCCTCTGTCGTCAGCAGTGCTCGTTCTGCATGCAGAGTGCAGATGTCTAGACAAGGGGAAACGCAGCAGAGGCACTGAGATGGTGCAAAAAAAAAAAAAAAAAAAAAAAGGCTTTAGCCAAGTCCTAGTGCCTGTCCTTGTGCTCCAGGGGAAATAGAATAAGGCAGGTTTTTCCTTAATATATATATATTTTTTTTTCCTTGGGGATGAATGCATGTTTTTCTGCAGGATTTACTATGCTGAGTCTCTTACACTGTTTCCACAAGGCTTGTTGAATACCTCCATATTCTCTGGCAATTCTGCCTTGGCCTCTATGGAGAGCTGTTCTTTTTCATGCTGCAATTTGGTGTAAAATTTAACTGCGAATGAGTGCTTTTGTGGAGCAGTCCCACCGTGTGATCTGCTCACTGTGATGATCATAACTCCATGCTAATTACTGACATCACAGATAACACTGCTAGGTGCTGAAGCAATTCTCTTTGTTCCTTTCTCTCCCTGCGTTCCTCTTCCCTTCTGTGCAGCATCCCTTATCTGTTTTCTGATCGTGAATACCACCCAAGATTTGCTGCTTTCTTACAGTGCTGTGAACGAATGCTTTGGGAAGGCAGTCCTGTGTGTTACATAGCCTACAACAGCCTATGATTAAAACTTGTGATGGTCTCTCATTGAGACTCGTGCTGAGGGATCTGCTGCAGGTTCTGGGTTGGCATTTTCCATAACTGATGTTTCACAGGAGGTGGTGATTTAATTCTGCTGAAGCCATATATTTTTCTGTAGGTCTCTCAGAACAGTTAATGAGATCAGTTATCCCAAAGAGCCAGGGCTGTAGCAGCTCAGAATTGTCAAACTGTAAGCAAGCGTAAAAGGCTGAAGAGTGAAGCCTATGGAAATGGTGTGGCACCATGCTGGCCTGTCTACTGAGGGCACTTTCATTGTGAGAGGGATTCCCTTTGTGTCAGCTCTGGAGATGCTCACCCAGCCAAGGAGACCAGAGCCCAGCTCAGCTCATGGGAGAGGCAGAAGATGAAAGATGTGTAACCTTTACATCCCAGCCTCCCCTAGGGCTCTGTTCACACTCCTCCTCCTGCCTGTTTCTTTGAGCTGATTTCTGTGAGCTGTATCTTAATCAGGATGTTAATTTTAACCTTTTCTTGAAGGATTATCTTCCACTCTGCTTCGTTCCCAGAAATGCTGGCTCCCTATGGGCATGTCCTCTTACCTCATGTTCTTCACCTTCAAACTTTCCCATGTCACAGTGGTCTTCACGGTTTTGCAGTGCTGCTTTTTTCTAATGGTGCAGACAGAAACCTGGATACAGGGAGTGATTCAGCCCTGGTAAAGCTTGTCCTGGCACCAGGCTGAAAGGCTGGGAGTGGTGGCAGGGGTGTCTCAGTGCTTTGTGAAGCCATGGGGAAGCTAACAGGGCAGGTGGTGAAAGGAAGTTCTGCTTTGCTAGAAACCAAGGCGGTGTCTGTGCTGCTTTCCAGGCACAGCTGCCGTGACTCATGGGATTAGATCACAGATCTGCCTAAGCAACAGCTTTTGAAGCTCATCTTCTAATTTAGATGATTCGTTCGTTTCTCGGAGTGTTTTCTGAGAGTCTGCCTCTCTGCTGTTTCTCGGAGAGGTTTTTCAGTGTTGCTGTGATGTCTTTCTCTCCCAGCCCTGGAGCAGCTGGGTGCAGCCACGAGGACAGGGCTGTGCTGGCATGGTGATGCAGGGTGGTGAGGACAGGACCCCAGGGTGATGCCCGCATGGATTGTCTTTGCCTCAAGAAGCGTCTGAGCAAGAGCTGCTGACGGCTTGCAGGCAGAGTTAATGTTCCCCGTGTGGGCTTTTTGTAGGCAGTAAGACAGATGTCAGCCTCCTGGAGCCACAGGTGGCTTCTCCTTGATGAGCAGAATTGCTCCTGCCACGGAGTGATGTTGCAGCATGGCAACAATGTGGTTCAAAATAGAAACTTGTCCAATTGTGCGCACAGATGGATGCAGAAAACAAGGGGAAGCGGTGAGGAGCCTGTTAGCTTGGAAAGAGTCTTTGCTTTCTCAGTACCCACTTAAGACTTCTGACAAATGACATTCTGATTCTGAGCTTCAAAGCAAGAGAAGGCTGTGAAAAGCAGATTGTCTACCATGGAAAGAAGAAATGGTTCTAGGTTAGTGATGCACGTCTGCTCACACTTTTTGCTGTGGGAAAGATTGCTTTGCACCCCTACCCCCCTCCCATCCACTGTGGGTGGGTAACCCATGCCCTTGTGCTGCTTCAACCTGCATGCTCCTCCCCATCCCCATTGCAGCAGTGCTTACTGTTTAAATGAGGAAAAACCATCTGCTCGTCAAATCTCCTGGTGGAAACTGTTCAGAAACGATGTTAAAAGAAAAAAATACAGTTCTGTGGTAGCGATGTTTTCAAATGGGTGCTTTCCTTTTTTTCCCATTGACTATCGCTGTCTTATTAAGTACCAGTTACTAATTAGCCTTCATGTCTCATTAAAATCGTAGTGGTTTTTTTTTTTACCTACTGAAAATTGCAAATAGCCTTTATTCTGGTCTTTAATGCATGTTGATTGAAGTATTTATTGAATGCCACTTATGCAGCTCTGTGGCTGCATTCATTTTCTTCTTAAGACATTTACTAAACCGTTGCTTAGAATTACTCCAACCCATCTGGCCTATTAAGTGTTTGTGCAGAGTGTACCCGATTTTTCCCATCCACTTCCTCAATTAATACTGAATATTCAAGAGAACAATGTTTTGTTTTTTTTCCTCCCTGCCGTCTGATCTTTCTGCCACCTATTGTGGTGTATTTGGGTAGGGCTGCTGCTCTAGCAATGGATCTCAAGGGATGGATGTTGGGTTGGAGGTGAGGGCGGTGGACTCAGTTCTGTGCAGTGATCTCAGCAGGCAGATGGCCCCGTGAATGGGCACCTTCAAAGACAAAATAAGTTATTCATGCATAGTAGGAGAGGATGTCCTGAAGGCAGGGGATTGAAATCCGCCCCACTGGCTGTCAGCTCTGGAAGCGGCCCCAAATCCTGAGCAGGAGGAGGTTAGAAGGGATTAGGAATGAGCTCTGCTGGCAGGGCTTTGTGGGGAAGCACTTGTACAAAACCTGCCGGCATTAGGCATGACAGCAACATGATTTTACTTCTGTAGTCATCCGCACAAACAAAAATGAGAACAGAACATGTCACTTGCTTTTGGTGATTATCCAAAGCAGGCTGAACCTGGTGCCAGCAGCAAAATCGGGGCTAAGAATGAATGTAAATGGCAGTAAAATATTCACAGCGGGGTTGAGGGCAGAAAGTAGCTATTAGCTCTGAACGAGATCTGCAGTAAGTCAGGATCTGCCTTTGTAGCTCTTCCTGTCATGTAGGAAAAGGTGCTTCCTGGCCCATCCCAGCTGTAAATCTGTCTGTTTGGAGGCAGTTTAAGTTTGTCTGGAGCTTTGTTCCTTAGCTGGGAGTGGGACGGGGTCCTCCAGATGCCCTTTCCTTCTGCAACTCTGCAGACCAGAGGCTGATGGAACTATTGGCAGCTTGTCTTAATGAGAGAACTGCAAGCGTGAAGCAAAATCAGTGTTTGAGCACTTGGTAGAAACTGTGCATTTTGCCTGTTTGTAGACAGACCTTAGCAGGAACAGGGAAGAATCAAACAAACCAGAACAATTAAAGCAAATATTCCAGTACATCACCAGTGAGTCTGCAACCTGAACCAAAGCACTGCTAAGTGGATCCTTCAGTCCCAGGACACATTGGGTGATGAGCAGCTGGGACAGAAGCGTGCAGAAATGAAACAAAAGTGGCACAGGATGGCCATCATTCCCAGACCTGTCTCACTGATGGATGCATCCAGATGAGATGAAGCCTGTCAGAGCCACCGAATGGTTTTAAGGCACCGCTCAGCTCAAGCACAGGGAATATTTAAGTATCTTAAAGGCTTGACTTCAGGCATCTCAATTTCTGTGTCGTCGTGGCACATTTATCTCCTCTTGGGAAAGGAATGGAGCTGAACTGTCTCGCTCATCATTGTGGGGTGTCTGGGGAGAGGAGGGGGTCAGTGGCAGAGCACTGAGCCTTGGGCTCCTGCTGGCTGTGAGCACATCCTTGTGGACCCCGAGTGCCTGATGGGAGAATGATTTCCTCTTCTCCTCCTTCAGCCATTTGTCTTTAGTCCTGAACTCCTGAGTGATCTGTTTAGATACTTTATTTTTTTTTTTTTATGACTTACCCTAATAGAGCCCAGAGCATTTTCTTGACTCCTTTGGGATGCCCACACCCCTGTGGAAGTGGAGGGCAGGTGGATGTGCTGTAAAGCTGCATCTCCCATCTTCCCTGGGACTATGGGTGGGAAACAACAGGAGGATCTGCTTTTGTGTGGCTGCTACAGCACTGCCAATGCAAACCTGGTGTCTTGTTTCTTATTCCTGTCTGAATACAGGCTGTTCTGAAGGTGCAAGGATGCTACAGGAAACAGCAAGGTGGAGAAACAGAAAAATGCATTATTGGCACGATGACCCTTGGTGGGCTACTGTGAGGAGCCATGTTGGGACTGATCATGGGATGGGTGAGGAGGTGGCTTTATACTTAGCAAACTGCAGCTTTGGGGTCCATGTGAACCTTCAGCTTGTGTTGCAGTGCTGTCAGCCCTCAGTTTCTGCCATGCATCCTATTGGTGGAGGCTTTTCTTAGCTTGTCTCGTCTCAGCTTGATTGAGGGAAACCAAAGGGAGACAGGGCATCACAAAGCTGTATATGGGTGCCTGCATGCACTTATCAGCGTAAACACAGTGTATGAAATTTATATTGATCCAAACAAGGCTGCAGAAATGCAAATCAGCCGTATCCTGCTTCATTACCATGCTTCAAAACCTGCCCTGCTGCTATCAGTGGAAGCAGCATCTCCCCTGGGCTGTGTGCTGCTGCATCCCTATGGGCCCCAGGGCTGCTATGGGGAAAATCTCAGATTCTGGCCAAGATTGTTACTTTACATTTGTGATGGAGTTGGGGACTCCATCTCACTGTGCATGGGGAAAATCCTGCCAGGACAGGACCCTGCTCATGGCTCTGGTGATGCTCTGAGATGTGTCACCCACATGGGAGCACTGACCCCAGCCATGTGTTGCCATGTACCTCTGTGTCTGTGTGCTCTTCTCATGGCATTCCTTTGGTGAAAATACGATGAGAAAGAAGGAGAGAAAAACCCTCAAGCTCTGCGGTAGAGATGGGATCTGTGTGCTTTGGGGGAAGTGGCACTCTGTAGCTCTTACCCCATTGCTTTTCCTTTATGAGCAGAGCCTGAGCATCTCCTTCCCTGCAAGCTGCCTGCTGCAAGCCACTCCTGCTGCCCTGTGTTACCAATGGGCACCAGTAAAGCAATGCTGAGCCACAGTGCAACTGCAGAGCTTTGTGGAAATTCATTTTTTTTTCCTTCCCAAAATAGCAGAGACAGCGTTTAGCAGTAATAATGCCTGCTGGAATCGGAGTGACTGACAACAGCATCTCCTGGTGAGAGACACGAGTGCGGTGTTTCAGACAAAAGGAGACATTTCCATGCCTTCCAGAACTGCAACCTGTATTTTGCAAGTTAAATTGCTCTGATCTGATTGAAATCCACACGGCTGTGAGCTTTGTAGTTAGTGACACACTGCTCCAAATTACACACCCGATACTTTTGAAATTTCTAAATTACTCACCTATTAGAAATTAATCCTTGAGAAGGGCAAACACTCAGTGTGCTGACAGGTTGAGCGTTTGCTGCCACCCCCCTCAATAATTAAGAACTTTGCTTAATAGGTGTAAAGAGGAGCACAGCAAAGCATCGAGTGAGGCACTTTCCCAGTTTGACGTGGAGAATAAGCTTCCATTCTGTAATGTGTGCTAAGGACTTGTGATGGAGAGCCCTACTCCATCTGAGCTGGGGGATCCTGGGTGTCTTCTCCCACCTCTGCTGTGCGGTGTCTCCCCGTGCTCACCAAGGCAACAGAAAGCAATGCAATCATGAGGATGACTTGTTGGAGCCGTGCTGCAAAGCAGGTACAGGTGACATGCTATGCATCACATATTGCAATGCAAACATTCAGTTTGTTTGCTCCTGTGGCATTCGCCATTGGGGTAGATCAAGCCATAATCTGCAGCCCCTCCTCATGCCACTGTGCAGGATACTGTTTGCAGCTGCAAATCCCCATTTCCCCACTTTTGGCCATTGGATTTCTGATGCCACCAGCTCTGGTGGGAGTGCTGGCTCTGAGCACCACGTCTGTATCCCTGGGCACTGCCTGCAGCCCCTTGAGTGTCCCCTGGCTGTTCTGCATCTGCTGTGCAGTGGGAAATCCCTGCAGATGCAAAGCAACAGACACATCTCCGTGCCATGCTTGTGTGAGCTGCAGTGCAGTAATTCATATGACAAGGTGTGAGCAGTGATGGTGTCCTGGGATCCTGGCAGCTCAATTTGCCTGCAGGGTTGGGTGGAGGGGAGGCTGCTTCCTTCCATGTTGCTCCCATCTGAAGGGCTGCAGGGGGGATGCAGCTCCCTGGCTCCTACACCATTCCCATTGGTGCTGGATTTGGTGGATTTGCTCCTGATGTGCTCTGTCCCCTTCCTTTGGTTGTTCCTTGCAAGCACAGCAATTAAAATGGGCCTTTTGGTGAGAAGTGCTGCAAGAAAGGTGAAACATTTTCCTCTTCTCTAATCAAAGTTTAAGCTTTTATTAACCCAAAGTCGTACCTGGGATGAGCAAATATACAGAGAGTGCAAATCTGCTTATTGCAGCATGACTGCAAGCCCAGTTGGCCTTGCCCAGTGCATAGATTTCAGCAGCAGCTGCATCAGGTGGACTTGTAGGCATGTGCATGGTGCACCAACCCAAACTTGTGTGCTCAAAGACGTGGGGTGTGCTGAGCTTTCCACGTGGAGCTGTCAGAATCGGTGGGCTCAGTCGCTGCTGTTGAAATGAGAGATAACATTTTGTCCTTCCCTGGGTTTTATTTTAAATGCTTGAGACAAATATGGAACGTTTGGCAGCTCTCTGGAGGGGAGCTGCCTCTGAGGAAGCCTAGCTTCTAATGAGGGGTGTACATGACAGCTGTCTGTCTCTGCATTTTATACGGCTGCTCATCAACTTAATGGCAATAAATGAACTCCCAGGTGGTATTAGCAGCATCTCTGGGATCTCTCTGCATTAGGAGCTGCTTGGGGAGCTGGCTTTGGCTTCTTTTTGTTGTTTTTCTTTTTTTTTTTTTTTTTGTCTTGGTTTTCAGGCTTTTAAAATAGCCTCTGTTTGCCCTGCAGCTCCCAGGATGGATGGGTTGCGCGTGCGATCCGCTCCCTGAGCTTCGCTGTGCAATTGCTATAGCTCAGCCATAAAGAGGAAAAAATGTGTCTAACAAATGCACCAGCCGTAGCTGTGCCTTGTATAAAACCTCACCAGGTCTCCACATGAGCACTGCCCTCATTTAGACACGCAGCACCCATTCGTTGGGCTCAAGCTGTACCTCGTGGCGGTGCAGAAATTGGGGCGGGGGGCACCTGTGTGGGGCAGGATCCCCATATGGGTGGGTTTGGGGGAGCAGATCTGCACAGGCTGCCCTGAGGCTCTGGGAGAAGCAGCAAAAACAGAGTGACGATGGCTGACTCATGCCTGGTGCTGGGACTTGCCATGTGTTGTAATCAGCGAGAAATGCTTTGCCTGTGGTATCATTTTCTTTAAATATATCATTAGGGAAAATGACAGCCCAAATGGTGGGAGGATGCTAATGACTGTGGAGTGGCAGACGTTGCAGAAAAGAGTTTTCTGCAAACACATCGCAGGTGGGAGCGCAGGGGGAGGCGAGGAGACAGAGGGGCACATGGTGCTGCCTTCAGCCCCAGCACTGCCCTGCTCCTTCCTATGGCTTTGGAGATCCCAACCCTATTGGAGATCCCAACCCTATTGGAGATCCCAACCCTATTGGAGATCCCAACCCTATTGGAGATCCCCATGGTGCCCAGGGCTGCTGGAACAAAGCTCCCAGTGTTCCCTTCCACCCCCATGCCAGATGTCTTCCCTCTCTCCATTTATTGCAAGGAAGGACACCAAGGAACAAGGTGTGTTTGGAGCTTTGTCTTTTATCTCTCTTCTGTTCTCAAAATCCTAGGTTTGGGCTGCATCTCTGTAAGAAATAATAAAAAAGGATGACCTTTAATTTCCACCAAACAGTCTGCAGTTCCCAGCGATGCTACGCAAACTGTGTTTTCTGCTAGATAAAGGTCTTCTGCCTTGTACTTCAGAGGCACCGAGCTGGACTTTAATTTTTTTTTTTCTGAAGTTCTTCTTCTCCAAGAGCAATTAGCAAGGAGAAGGGCAGGTAATTGCCTCAGTGCTCACGCTGCTGAGGTCGGGTGCTGAGCAGCCACATGGAGCCCTGCAATGCCCTTTGCATCAAAAGCACAGAGCGGAGTGGAGCTCTCCTTTGAAGGAAGGGCTCTGCAGAAATGGAACTTCTTAAACCCAGCCTGCAGCTGCCAACCTGTCTGCTCCTCAGAAGAAGCAGTGGAAAGTCCTTCCAATGCTCACACCAACCTTTGCCATTGCAGCACCTGCCCCCTCCAAGAGAAATGCTGATGGATCTGTTGGTCTCCTTGTAATGAAACCATGCACCTCCCATGGAGGGAGCATGGGGCTGTGCTGGGTTGGTTCTTCTATGGAATCTATTCTGCATCTGGATGAGTCTGTGGGTGTTCTGTAAGTAACAGAGCCACGATGGGCATCTTGCTCATCCCCCTGCTGCTGATACACCCAGCCAAGAGCTGTGTAAGGGATTGAGTTTTTAGCTTTACTTATTTCATTGCATGTTCGTATTTCTGCTAGTGTGACATTGCTGCTGACACTGGGCTGTGATGCAGGGCAGTTTTATTTCTCCATCAAAGGGAAAAGCGATGGTACCTTCCCCTAAAGTGCCCTAAAGGTTTTAGGGTAGGAGCATTGGAACCCAGCTCCCGGTGAGCTGGCACTGTGTCCCTGCCTTTGGTGGCACTGCGGGGGCTTCCTGCGAGCCCAGCAGCACGGCAGATGGAGGAGCACAGGATTTATTTACTACGATTGGGCTGGGAACATCCCCAATGCTCTGCTCTGCCAGCACAGCAGTTGGGAAGGGGAAGCACTACAAAATGGTAGGATCTGTTGACAGGCATTAAGGCTTTCTCTCCTCCCCCAGCTCTGCGTGGAAACGTGTCCAGCTTGTGGTGCTCCACGTGGGGATTTTTCCTGGGGTGAAGCAGATCCTGTTCTGTATGTGGGACCCAGAGAGGACACCGTGGCAGTTTTCTCAGTTTTTAAGTGTTTCATCCTTCAGACTTGGTGTGATGAAATGAATTGACTTGAAACAGTTTCCTTCTGAAACCTGTAGGGATTTCAGTAGAATGGCACTGAGTTGTCCTGGCTCATATGGAAGGGATGAGTTCATCGCAGGCTAAGCATTTTCTTGCCAAGGGCTGAAAAACAACCTATAATGCGAATAGTTTCATGCACTTGAGTTAATCACAACCTTCCAAAAGGTTATTTTAACATGCATCTGTGAATTAAACAACATTTCTGCAAAGCTACAAAAACTGAGGGGAAAAAAACAACAACCTACAGCACAAATTTCATGTTCCCATTTAGTAAGGCAGTCGCTGGGTATTTCTTGAACAACACTTGAAAGCCCTGAAATGGCTGCTCAGGAATGGGGCTGGCTGGTGATGGGCTCCCATTGGGAAGGGATGGTCACTGCCTGCAGGAGCTCCTTGCTGCTCTCCTGAGCTGCAGAGTGTGGTTGAAAATGGGAGGAGAGGATGGCTGAGGTGGCCTGGGGTTGTGCCCCCATCCCTGCAGCTCCTCACACAGGTCTGATGTTGCTCCAGAGTGAGCAATGGAAAATCTGCCTTGGCTTGAGCTAAGTTGGCTTATGGCTGTAATTCCACCTTAATTTTCCCTTGGCAATTCTTCATGCTTGGCACTTGATATAGCAAGCGTGAGATGCTCTTTGAAGCAATTACAGCTATAAAGCAGGAGCGGGCTGGAATACCTGATTTAAATTCCACGTCTATTGCGAGAG